GATCCCTTTCCTATTTGAGAAAGACCTATCTCCCTATTATGTATCTTTCGTGCTCACTTCAGCAGTACATATACTATTATGTATTTTTCGTTTTGCTCTTTATAATTTATAATTATAAATTTCTTTATAATTTGGATTGCTCATATAAGAAGAACAACATGATATTTACATCTCTGTGTCTGATTGATTTCACTTAACGTTATGGTCTCAAGATACATGCATTTTCCCACAAATGATTCAAGTTTATCTTTCTTCATGGCAGAGTAGTACTCCATTCTGTGTGGGTCTTTTTGTTTTGGTACCAGAAATTGAACTCACAACCTTGCACTTGCCAGGTAGGCGCTGTGCCACTGAGCTAAATCCCCAGCCCGTCCATTGTGTGTAAATACCACATTTTCTTTATCCATTTATCTGTTGATGGACATGTAAGATGCTTCCAATATTTAGCTATCATGAATTGTGCTACTATAAACATGGGTGTGCTTGTATCATGGCAATATGATGTCTTTAACTCAATGATGTCTTTCAAGGAGCAAAAGCTTTTAATTCTGACAAAGTAGATTTGTTAAATTTTTCTTTTATGGTGCTGCCTTTGGGTACTATAGCTAAGAACTCTTTGTTCAACCCAGAATCACAAAGGTTTTTATCCTGTTTTCTCCCAGAAGTTTCACGGATTTAGCTCTTGCAATCCTGTCTATAATTCAAGTTGAATTAGTATTTTGTGTATGGTACAAATGAAAGATTAAGTTTATTCACTTTTTTTCTTTCTTCTTTAGCATGTGGACATGCAATTGTTCCACCACCATTTATTTTTTTAATTTTTAAAATGTTTTTATTTTAAAGAGGAAGTGGCTGGTTAGAGTGTGGTGCCGATAAAGAGGAAAAAACCCCCCAAATTTCAAAACAAGATAATAGGAGGGTAACAATAGTTAATACATTGCGTACTGTTATCTTTAAATTAGTTACTCAGAGTACAAGATATTGGCATTTAATTGTTCAAACAATATTAGCCCAAATCTTTCTTTTCAATGAACTAAGAGAAATTAGGAATATAACTATCTTTTATACATATTTATATTTTTCCCCTTCTTGTTTGAATTGTCTTCACATCTTTGTTGGAAAATCAATTAACCATACATATACGGATTTATTTTTGGATTCTCACTTCTGTCCTATTGATTGATTTGCTTATTTTTATGCCAGTACCACAGAGTATTTTTTTTTTTT